GGCCAGGAGACAGGCTTGTAGAATGTGCTCTTTGGTTGTTTAAATTATTATATATCCCTGAGTCTTTTTGTGTACATCTCCCACCCACCCTAAAAAAAAAGAAAAACAGAGGGAATGGAAGCAAATCCTGTTGAATGATGATGCACGGAGGGGATTGTAATCAGTGCAATGAAACAATGGTGTAAATCCAATGTTCTCCCATGTAAATTATAACTCATATCACAATTTGAAAAACAAAAACTCACTTGAATTGTCTTTCACAGACAAAAGTCAGTGGTCCAAGAACGAGCTCATTTACACACTGTCAACATCTGTGTCCTACCAGCAACATCCTGCATAGACTGGGGGATACTTTTCTTTACGTCCTGCCTCCACATAAAGCCATCCTTCAACTAGCATCACTATAAAATCAAGACAGCCTGGGAGAAGTGTGGGACCATTTAGAGTACCACCTACTCCCCCAAATTCCTCCCCCTTCCTTCCACTCTCCCAGTCTCTTTCTGGATCCCAACGTCAAAGGTGTCTTTAATGAGAACACTAGACAGCATCAGCTCTAGATAGAATTTTCAAGCTCCTTTTGAACATCACTGATTCCATTCCTTTAATACCTGTGCTACCCTGAATTTACCTGATAATGTAAATTATCTATCCAATGTCTTCTTAATTCCCACCATTGGGTGGGACAATGCAAATAGACTCAATGCAGGACTCTAGTGTTGGGATTGGTTCATTTTGTCTTTCTGTTAGGTTTAAAAAGGACTATCTTAGAAGCAGGTACAGATGATTCCAAGAGTATAAGCAGAGTGAGGTCCCTAACTAGAAAAGCAGCCACCCACTGCCAGGATGGTGCCAGAGGCAATGGCATGGAGAGACAGAGCAGCTGTGGGTTTCTAGGCCTGGGACCAAGTAAAGCTGAGTGCCTGTGGACAGGAGGCTGGCTTGGAGAATGTGCCCTTGGAGCATTTACAGACAGACTAAAGGAGCTTTGTAACACTTGCTCAACCACGGCAGAGACCTTACAGCTGAGAGATCGAAGATCATGCTTGTAATATGACAGAATAAAGGCATTCCTGATTGGAGAACTGCGATATCCAGAGTTGTTTCTCATCCTGAATTGTACCCTGTTCACTTCCCTAATAAACCCAAGAATCGTTGAGTGCTGACTGTGAGTTCTGTGTAGCCATGACAAAAGCTTATCAAACCCAGATGTGAAGCAGAAAGTGCTGTGGAGGGATGGGTTGTGTCAGTACAGGGTCAAGAAAGTTGTAGGTTGGAAGTCTGTCTGACTTTCACTTTATAGGACTCAGCCTTGGGCTGATTTTGAGTTTGATCCTCCTCACCCCTTGTGAAGCCAGAGGAAGTCAGACATGGCCTCCACGCCATTTTGGTAGTGCCCCAATTCCAGTGGTTTGCAATGTGCTCCATGATAATACCAAAATATAGGCAAATAAAACTGAAAACCCTTTAAAAATAACCCTTACCTTAACCTGCAATCTATTTCCCCTGAACGTTAATCAGTGGCTAGAGGCCATTGTAAGTCCTCTCTCTTCACCAATAAAATTTCGTTAAAAATCTTGCAGTCACCATCCAAAGTCCATAGGATTCTTCCCAAACCAACCATACCTGCAATCACTACCTCCTTTGATTCAACCTGTCCTATGTCCTGGTGTGGTGCTGTGAGATAAAGCACTGGACCGTAGGGTTGGTTTGCACCACAAGATCGGAGTGGTTCCAATTCACCAGACGCTCCTTAAAAACACTATACAGGGTTGCTTTGAGCTGGAACCTACTCAACAGCACTTAACATGTTCATTCAGTCACAATAACAGCCCGCATACATTTCTTACCCCAAACTCCTATTTTGGTGCTCCTTAATTTTTGTTTTCCTGACCTCTGAACAACTCCTCTGTCTCCTGATCTCCTCATATAACTTCTCCTTTCTACCTTAGAAATTCTGGGCCAACACCTGGTAAATTTGATGCATCTGACCCCTTTGGCATATCCTAGCATCTCTTGAACTTGCTCATTTCCTAATTCTTCTTCTAAAGAATATGAAGTCAGAAACCCCCATGAGGGACTCAATCTAAAAGCATTGTAAGAAAGGTATCATGACTTCCTTTATTTCCTATTGCTTGTCACATTGAACTTGTCATCTTTTTGATGAATGAATGAATGAATGAATAAATGATGGCCATGTCATAAGCAGGCAAATGACACATTTTTCCAATATGTTTGATTACGCACTATTCCAAGTCTTTCTGGAATAAAGCTATACTTATAGGCCAATGCAGTAATGTTAATAAAGTGCTTTGAAATCCACAAAATAAAGGTGTTGTTACTGAGTGGAGACGATCAGAGAAGCAGTCTGTGCAATTCATGAGTAAGGTGGGGGAAAAGAAATGGTGCAGGATGGGAAAGAGGAGAAATAAAAACTTAAAAATGAAAACTCACCTTTATCATAATCATCATCCTCAATTGCTTTGTCTTGAAGTTTCTGAAGCTTTAATCTTAAGGATTTTATCTACGTTGATTTGAGAAGGAAAAATGAAAACCAAATTACAATCGCATTCAAGCACACTTATTTTACTAAAGCTAAGGAATTTAGAAATGATTTCAAAACTGAACTTCATTCTTCTTACTGTGAAAGTAAACACACTCAAATTGCAAGACAAACCAAGAGAAGAAAAGCATGGACTTAAACGCTGAAGGTTGTTCTGAAGTCTGGGTTGAAATGACTAGCAAGACTCTTCAGAAACCCCTTGAACAAGTTCTAAAGTTCATACATTTTTTCACTGTAGAAAAGGGCATTGTCTTATTTAACCTGCATGGAGATTCAACAATTCAATCACTTGTCTGACTATTACATGGTCATCTGTAATTCTTTTTCTTCTCCACAGAAGTCCAAGGATTTCCTGAAGATAGATTCTTGCCCAGGCTATCAATTGCTTGCTCCCTGAAAAACACCCTCTCTCCTATTTTTGCTTGGTTTACACCTATTTTTCCTTCAACACTTAGTGCAAGTGTCATTTCCTGCAGTCTGTTCAGTGTCTTTCCTCTATCCTGTCATTGTGACTTCCCACTTGCTTCCATTCATGTATCTCACACAAGGAACCTTTACTGAGCGTCTCTTATATGACAGGCACTGTTTCAGGGGCTCATGAGAGCACAAAGTTATTTTTTCTCTAGACTTACATCCTAATGTGGGAACACAGAAAATAAGCATGATAAATTTGTTTTGTGGTATCTTAGAAAGTGATAAATGCCATGAAAAAGAAAAAAAAAAAACATATGGAACAGGGTAAGGAAGATCAGGAATGCTAGAAAAAGGCATGTGTTGCAGTTTAAAGTAAGACTTTCCTGAGATGGTGATGTCTGAGCCAAGACTGGAACCAGGTAAGGGAGATTCATGAGGTAGCCTGGGAGAAAACATTTAAATGCAAAGAAGAGCCAGTATACAGAGCTGCTCCTCTCAATGCAATGTAATAGTAAGAAGATCATTGTGGTTGGAGTGGTTGATTGAGGGGGAAATCACAGACAATAAGGTCAGAGAGATAATGGGGAACACATCGTGAAAAGACTCAAAGACCATTTAAAAGTTCTGTTATTACTCTTAAGACTACAGAGAGCCATTGTGAAGTTTTGAGCAAAAGAACGGCATGATCTGATTTATTTACAGTTTCATTTGGACTGTTTTGTTGAGAGGAGGCTGTAAGAGGACAAAGTAGATGCAGGGGAATGGAAATGGTTAGGAGGCAATGGAAATAGTCCAGCGAGGAGACAGTGGCGTCTTGGATTATGGTGGGAGCAGTAAAGATTGGTGAGAAATATCATAATTCTGGATATATTCAGAAGATGGCTGGTTGAAAATACAACTAACATGATTAACTAATAAATCACATGAGGGGTGTGAGAGTCAGAGGAATCAAGGGTAATGCCACAGTTTTTGTTCTGAGTCACTGGAAGACAGGATTTACACATAATTATCATAGGATGTAAAGAGGTCCAGTAGCGTAGTGGTTATGAATCAGGCTGCGAACCACAAGGTCAGCAGTTAGAAACTACTAGCTGTTCTGTAGGAGAAAGATGAGGCTTTCTGCTCCTATAAAGATTACAGCCTCGGAAACCCTGTACAGGGTCGCTCTGAATCGGAACCGACTCCATGGCACATAACCACAACCACCATCATAGCATGTTATGGCTGACTGCCTTTTTGTTTCCTTTTGTCTGTTTACTCCCTTCACCCTTGAGCATCTTGAGGTCAAGAATTCATTTATTCCAAGTGGTAGAAAATGCTAGTGTTCACCCTCGTTTGGTCTATCCTCGTTCAAGGGTTCATGAAAGGATGATATGTCCCTCCCCCCTCCCTTGTTCTGGTTAATGGGGTGTGAGTAGAAATGATATGGGTGACTGCTGGGCTGAAGCACCTAATGATTCTGATAGGATCCCCCAGTGTTCTTCCCTGTGTCTCAATCACTGAGAAAGTCATATGCCCAGAGATAGAGGTGGGTTCCTGAATCACTCTGTGGAGCAGAGACCCCAATAACCTAATGGAACACGAAACATAAAATTCAATTTGATATTTTGTTGCTGTTTATTACTAGATTATCCTAATTAAGACAATCTCTGAAGCCTACCAGGAGGCATAGTAAATTCTTTTCCAATGATCATTATGTTAGCTCCTTTGTCCTTTAATGACTCCATATTCCAACTGTGAATTATACCAGTGACTTAGCCCTATGGGTCATGGACAAGATAAAGTCTGTGTAAGTAACTGCATTGTCATATCAAGTTATGACATTAGCACCACTACACCCAAACCGTGGTAATATTAAACACTTAATCAAGCTGAGACAAAAGAACTACAGAAAAGAAGGTTAAAAAAAAAAAAAAAAGTTATTTAAAGCTAATGTTCTCCTCACCCTCACTAACCCCTCCTGCAATTTTCCCTTTAAGACATTCCGTTATTGCCCTGAGGTATGTCTGAATGGCCATCTTTGCTGAAAGTACCTCAGTTGGGCATATTCTATCCATTGATAAGCAATGTCTTTCCTCTTTGTCCAGTTTCCATAGCCTGAGATGAGGACTAATTCTCTGACCTCTTCCCACTTCCTCATCTATACACTAAGTTAGTATTTCATTTTACCTCAGATTTTCCAGCTCCATCCAACCCCTAGTAATATCCCTAAGTGGGCATTTCTAAACAGAATAAAATACATATATTATGAAAGGAGATAAATACTAGGTTTCTATCTAAGTAAAAGAGAGAGAGAAAAATGTCCCCTACCAAATCCAACTGATACCAACCCTACAGGGTATTACAGAACTGCGTCATAGGGTTCCAACTCTAAATCTTTATAGGAGTGCACAGCCTCATCTTTCTCCCAAGGAGTAGCTTGTGAGTTTGAACAGTCAACCTTGTGATTAGCAGTCCAATGCTTAACTCACAGAGCCAGCAGGGAAAAGGGGTTAAGTAATTACAATATTTTAAATACGGCAGAACATTAGAATCAGAGGCTTTTAAAGTATCTTTTTGAAGGATCCACTCCTCCATCCTAAAGAAATCAGTATTAGCCACAATAAGGAACCCGAGGCCTCTGTGAACATGTTGGGACATCATGGCCATCCACACAACCTGCTCCATCAACAGACTCAGCTCTCAGGTGTTTCCTCCTTGTTCTGAAATAAACTCTGCCTTCCTACAATCCCTTGGCGCTGTAGGTTAGTGCGTCAGTCTGCAAAGCCATTTGAACTGCAACGTCAGTGGTTCAAGCTCACCAACTGCTCCTTGGAAACCCTATGCAGGGTCGCTATGGGTCGGAACTGACTCGATGGCACTTAATAACAACAATCCTACAATCCCTGACCACAGCTCTTTCTGTCACTTGTACCTCACTAAATAAAGTTCATTCCTCTTCCACATGGCAAATGTACAAATAATTTGAGTTGGCAATCTTATTTTGTCTTATTCATATCTTCAGTTACCATAGACAAAGATACTGCAACTCAGAGAAACTGTATCTAAATCCTATCATCCAAGATAAGATAGAAGCTGAATGTAAACTGTGGGGTGAAACCAGAAAACTAAATCCATTGTCATCGAGTCAATTCTGACTCACAGTGACCCTGCAGGACAGACATGACCTACCCACCTGGTTTCCAAGGTTACAGTCTCTATGGAAGCATCTTGCTCCCTCAGAGTGAGTTCAAACAATCGACCTTTTGACAGCACCAAGGGTCCTATCCATAGGTAAAGCCCCTGGAAACTCAGACTCCTGACTCAAATGACCTGAAGGCTCAAAGAACTGGCACAGGGCGCTCCTGCCAATTCCAGGTCCTAAAGATGACCGGCTGCTAGGGCTTTGTTCTCAGAAATGATATGTATTCTGAGAACAAATTATAAGGAGTTGAAAGAAAAGAAGAAACAATCGGTAGAGCAAGTCTCTGTTTTGCATGAGTGCATCTGGGAGGGACAGAAACTAGTAATTATAACAGAGCTCAAATGTTTGCCTAACTGAAGTAAAAGCTCAGATATTTGAGACAGAGAAATGTAGATACGTTGCTCAGACTTTTCCAAAGTTCCCTGAAGCCAAGTGCTGAAAACTGATATTTAGAGTTGGAAGAAGACAGTCATGTAACTCTCTGTTCAGTGTCCTTTGTCCTTTGTGTGTGTGTGGCATTCAGAATCTCTTGTCACCACTTGTGCAGTCAACCCAAATATCTGCCAACTAAAGATCTGTGCCTCCATCCACAAGAACAACCCACACTTGAAGATAATACCCACTTGACCTGGCTTCAATGACTGGATGATCAAAGCGCAACTATAAGAAGAAAGAAGAGAGGAGAACAAACAAGATGGCGGATTGGGTGGACGTATAGCAGAGAGCTCCGCCAACAACAACACAGAATACCCGACCAAGCAGGCTCAGGGG